ATAAATAAACTATAAATAAATTAAATGTAACAGTATTTTGTAGAAAATCCAGAAACAATGCTGTTATATTTTCTTCAAAAAAATGTGGACCAATATTATTGTATTACTCACAATATCAGTCCTTAAGTTGATTTTTTGTGGTTTTGGCATTTGGTATTCTTCCACCCAGTATGTATTTTCATCAGGCCATTACGGGTGTTTTGGGGTCGTCCTTTAAAAAAGTGCGGCTCTATGACATAATTATCTCCAATTCCACTCCAAACATTCAATGACCTCCTCGTTTGGCTATAGTAACTATAAAATGTGGGTTTGAGTAAATAGAGAAAGTTATGCCTATTTAAACCTCCATTTTTATAAAAAGTCGATTCTTTACACCACAATTTTCATTTAATGTCGATAAATATCGATAAATATTAACTTTAGGTATAGGGAATGGGAATGAAATATGCCAATGGATCACTCCCTGTCTAGAGAACAGGATCATTTTATCCACTCTAGGAAAGGCAACCATACAGGCAAAAGTTACACGGGGCTGCCCACAAGGAGGAATATTATCTCCAATGCTGTGGTCAGTTCTTGTGGACGACCTACTCAAAACATTGTCCAAAGAAAGCTACCAGTCCCTAGGATACGCAGACGACCTAGCAAGGGGGCGATTTACAGGCACAGTCTCGGAGCGATCTCAAACAGCTCTAAACATAGTGAACAACTGGTGCAAAAAGGAACAATTGTCCATTAACGCACACAAAACAACAGTTGTACCATTCACAAAAAACGGGTACTTACAGAACTAAGACCACTAGTACTAAACAACATAGTTATCCCATTCGACACAGATGCCAAATACCTAGGAGTCATATTGGACCAAAGGCTGACGTGGAATCAACATCTCGAAAAACTCACATACAAAGCTACACTAGCTCTTGTAAGCTGAAGAAGAATATGTGAGAAAAACTGGGGTCTAGGCCCCAAAATGACCATGACACAAGGGCGATAAGACTCATGACAACCCATGGCGCAGTGGCGTGGGTAACCAAAACTGCGCAGGCAAGTGCAATAGGCCAACTCACTGGCATTCAGCGGCTTGCCTGTCTAAGGGCCCTATTCAGTAATTTATCGTTTATAGACGACATCGTTAAGCTAACGACAGTTCAACCAACAACTTTTATAACGTTAATTTTTAAAACTCTATTCAATAACAAAGTCGTTACGTTGTATCTAATTACCAAATCTGAACGATGATTTCTGGTAAGTTTGTATTATAATTTAGTGTTCTGTGATTAAATAACATACGTTGATGATTATGTTTGACATTTTTTGAAATTTAAAATAAAAATTCTACCAGTAGGTATATTCATATGGTTCTTCAAAATATACCTATTTGTTCTTAAACTACAACACGATCAGAGAAGTGTACTACGAGATGGGTACAAGAAGAAAAGAAAACAACTAGGGAGAAATATACTAATTATAGAAGTGACATCTATATCTCGCGATCCATTTGCTGGTCGTTTTGTATGTAGGGTATATTTAAATGAATATGAATATATTAAAAAAATTGAGAACAAGGTATTCCAAAAAAATATATAAAACAACTTGAGAACAGTACGAGTTGTATTTATGGATTAGAAAGAGAGAAATCAAATTCGATACTGTCAATTCTTATTATATTTTTTGTTGGTGTCAACCTCTTCTACAAGTCAGAGGACTCAGGCCATTAGCTGACATTAGCCTCGTTTTCTGTGTAGGTTACGAAGTATAAGTACTATAATAAGTACTTCCATAATACAGGTTTTGATACAGTGCTACTTTATTAGGAATAGCACTGTTAATTAGAATCCAACAGTAAATGGTCGAATGGGCAATCCTACCTGTGAATCAGAATTATTTTTTAAATAATTAGTTCCCCTAAAAATCATAATTGCTGTACTAGGTAGCGACCATTTAGTTGTAAAGTTTATAACAAAAAAGGTGAAACCTGATAGGTATTTTAAAACAAAAGGCGGGGATGGAAAAGTCACTATAACGACACTTCAGAGAGATATTGCAAATTTCTATAAAGCCAGCCACTAAACTTTAAATTATAGTTAATCTTTTTTGTTGTCTATAATATTAAAGAGGCATTAGAAATTATAATTTTAGAAGGTTTAAATGACAATTATATTAAATATTTAATATTTAAAAACTTCTAATGGATACGAATGTCGGCGAGCGCATCCGAAAACTATAAAGTCGCCACTACCTGCTGCCCTTAAACATCCACAATTAAGGACAGGCACAATCCTTAATAAAGTCAGTTTTAGAACATAAACATCTGCGCATGCTTAGATGTCAAAATAAGAGCAGCACTATTAGTGACTGACCTTAAGTGAACTTGCAATAAATTCTCTATTAAGGACAGGCACAATATTTATTAAAGTTAGTGATCTGCGCATGCTCAGATGTCAAAATAAGAGCGGCACTAATAGTGACTGACCTTAAGTAGACTTCCAATAACTCTCTAATATTAACGATAGCTATGTAGCTATCGTTAACGATAGCTATGTAGCTATCGTTGATGAACGACAATTTTGCAACTATCTTTAGCGACAATCGTTGTCTACTGAATAAGAAAAGTCGTCTGTAAACGATTATCGTCTGTTAACGACATCGTTCCGAGTTACTGAATAGGCCCCTTAGTGCTGCTGGGGCCATGCGCACAGCGCCAACTGCAGGAATGGAGGTATTATTAAATCTTACGCCACTGCACATCTTCATACAAGGAGAAACCTACTAAGCCAACTACATAGCACCGATCACACAAGGCATATCAGCAAACAAAAAGGGATAATATTCTAGGTATGCCTACTGATAGAGCCATAAGCACATAAAAATTTGAAAGAAATTTTCAAATTCAAATACCAGCCCGAGAATCCTGGAAACAGGGACGTCCCGTACAGGCTCAACTCGTCTGGTACACAGACGCTTCAAAAATCAAGGAAGGAGCCGGTGTTGGTATCTATGGACCCAAGTCGAAAACAACGATTTCGCTGAGTTTTGGAAAATATGCAACATTGTTCCAGGCTGAACTAATAGCCATTCAACACTGTCTAAGATAAATACTAAATCAGCAAGTATCAGGCAAAACTATTGCCATATACTCTGATAGCCTAGCAGCTCTAAAGGCAATTCTCTCACCAGAAATCAAATCACCACTGGTGAAAGACTGTCTAGAAGACCTGGCAGAGCTAAGTAGTCAAAACAAGGTGACTGTAGTCTGGGTGCCAGGCCATGAGCCGACGAATTAGCCCGAGAAGGCTCAGATAAGGCCATGACAGGCTCCGAACCCTTCTGTGGAGTTGCTAAGGCATTGTGCAAGGCATCCATCAAACAATGGATGCAAAAAGTCTCAGGAACAGTGGACCAAGTCTCCAAGACTGAGACAGGCCAAACAGTTTATCAATGAACCATTGGCCAAGTTCACGAAAGACCTACGGGATCAAAAGCGTCAAATCGTTAGGATAACAGTAGGTCTTCTTACTGGATATTGTCGCCTTAAAAGGCACATAAGTGTCATCAATACAGCAGAAGAAGCAAATTTGTGCAGGTTTCACGTCCTGTGCCAATGTGAAGGTCTGGCTAGAATGAGGTTTCTAACATTGGGTGAAGAAAAGCCAAACGCATGCAACTACATGCGGGAGCCACTGTCAAAGCTACTAAGTCTAATAAAAAAGACCAAGCTAGATGACATACTCTAAAACAAACGGAGTTCCACAATAGATCTGAAAAGGTCACAGTGGACAAGGACAAACATCGTCCAACTCCTTGTTAATCTAATCTATAGGCAATCGTTAATAAAAATGGATGGCTTATTAGAGAGGGTTGTACTGGTGATATGAAATATAGAGTGTCCCATTTAAATAAAACATGAAAATCAAGGATCTGAGTCTTAAGTCACCCTGTATACTAATAAGTAAAGAATAAAAATGTTACTAAAGAAAAGTGTATAACATGAAAATAAAAAAACTCGTGAAGGTAAAAAACTATTTTTTTTTCACAGTATGTAATTGGATACAGGGCGTTGATTTACTTATTATTTTCGTACAAAAATTACAATTTCTTTCAAAGTACCTACTCTATATAACCTAGAGAAACCATATATTAGAAGAATGAAAAAATGAGAGTAATTTAGATCTAAAATAATTCGACCATTCACTGTTGGGTTCTAATTAACAGTGCTGTTCCTAAAGTAGCGCTGGCAAACAGTAACAAAGCCTACACAGAACACGAGGCTAATGACCTTAGCAGTCGATGCCGATGACACCCAATTAAAAAAAAAAGTGGTGTTCTGGTTTAAAGAAACACATGTTTGTTTCGAACGGTATTCCTTTATAGTTGGCATATCGTTTAATATAACTGTACACATTGTAGTTGAACCTATTGAAATTCATCACTAACTGCGAAAAGGACCGTTGAGCAAGTATTCTCCACGACAACGCTTGCCCACACGTCTCCCGTCAAGTCACAGACCATCGTCAAGTCAAACCGTCGGTGTCCTGCAACAGTTCAAATGGAACACCCACCCTTTTAGTCTGGAATTTTGGCACTACCACCTGATCACAAAGTTGAAAGAACATTTAGGTGGATGGCGATTCTCGACGAAGAGATTCAAAGCTTTCTCAAGTACATGGTGGAGCTGGAAGGTATGAAATGATCATACCAAAACTATATTACAGCGTTTACAAAAATGCATGGACCGAAGTGGCGATTATGTAGAAAAATAGACATCAACCTTTAAAATGACGTCAATCTTATATAAAATAAACGGATTTTTGTATTTAAAAAAATAGACCTTACTTTTCGGATGACCCTCGTAGTTATTGCACAAAAAGTTTAAGATTTCATAATTCGTTCATATTATGAAATAACCAGCTACAAATCAATAACCAAACTTTGCATTCCACATTCTTACTCTTACTACAATCTAAATTTTTACATTTTTTTAAGAAGTAAATACATACCAAATCTGCCAAATACAGCTCCTTGTAACAAGACGGGGAAATGCACTGTCGAATACACAATATTTTTGAAACACCGCTTCTTCCAAAACAACCTCTTTGACAAGCGGCTTCGACCTCTCTAAACATTATTTCCTAAAACCGAAAAGTATGTAATTATCCTTAAAATCGCATTCATTTTTCTATGGATTACATTCTTGTTCGTTTCTTTGTATTGGAATTCTGGAAAAGTGTACGTTACTTTTTGCGCTTCATTATGATATAATAAGAAAATAATAAATAAGAAACTGAAAGAAGTCTTCATTTGAAACGGCTGTTGTGGAAGCGTGTGCGCAAGTGTATGTAGGAGAACATAAATCAATATCAACGGGAGTAAAATGTCTGTATAGCTACGGGAGTCAGGGCATCAGAGATTGTTCTGTGTCAAGGATCTTGTCCACCTGCAACAAAGGGTTACTGTTATAGAAGTGGTTGATGATTTACATTATTTTTGAATTCCTGCTATATTTTAACTAGTCTAATATTTACGTTAATAACGCGAAAAGTACCGCACGCGAGGATGTATTAACTCAAAATCATGTGGAAGAGGAGTATTGCCAATTGCATTTAACGTATTCCAAATCCACAATTTCCAGAGATTTTAAATCATGTCTCATTTTTTACTAAAGAGCGGCCTCACATTGCTTAAAGTGTAGCAATATTATTTTCCAGCATAAATTTCAACAATAGATTAGCCAGCAAGAAACTCACACTTAAACCCAATTGAACACACGTGGGACATCCTGGGGCAACTCATTCCAATGCTTTAACTCCCCAAACTGCCGTCCTCTCTAACCAATGGTGGGCGGAATAGTCGATAAATTTTTTTCTACGTCGATTTTTTGCTTAATTTGAAGCTAAATCGCTATTTGAGAGACACATAAACGTAGATTTTTGGTTGTCGTGGGATGTGGCCCACTTCTCCTTATAAATGGTGAAAAAATACAACCAGCTAACCTCCATATTCATGCTAAAACCTATTAGGTAAAGAGTTACAAAATCAAAATATCTCTTACTTTTTAATCGACTTCAAACAAGTTATAAAAAAAAATACTTTAAAATCGTGCAAAAATGAAGAATTTGATGATTTTCTTATGGACGCCATTAATAGATATTGACCAAATTTATATGGAACAACCCCTGAAGTACCCCTTTTCATATAAAAAAGAATCATAGAAATCGGGCAACGTGATAAAGAATTATCGTTCAACATACATAAAAAGAAAATATATTGCGACGAATTGTAACCTCTACCTTTTTTTGAAGTCTGTTAAAAAGGAGGGGTTCCCAATTCGTCTGAATATATTCTTAAAAAATAATACACCTATGTGAAATAAAAAAAAACAAACAAAATTATAAAAGTTGTTTAAAGTAACCTCCCATGCATAACATTAATACAGTTATAAACGAAGTTCAAATGATTAACTCACATTTTTCACACTGTATATTTTTTATTAAATAAAAATATTAGGTACGGGTAGATAGGTAACATAGGTAAATTTATATTTATATAAACTTGATTCCCCTTTTACTAAGGGACTGTAGCCCTACAGCCCTTACATACAGCCGCCACTGACCTAATAACCTAATTATTGATGATAAATGTTTTTAATAAAAAATGCCTACTATGATTTTTGATTTTAATTTTCCAAGAAAGATAACTCTGATTGCATTAATTCAAATTTGTTAAGTTTGACATGAATTGGCTAATCTAAAGTGTTCAATTGGCCGGTCTCAGTCGTGTCCTGCAACGCTATACATTTTTACCTAGGGGTACCTAATATAGTTCTCAATTGGCGACCGCCCTGAAATTGAATATGTCTCAATTAATAGTTTTCTACAATATTCTATGATCTATTTACAGAACCGGTCCTGTCTGAACAGAACTAGAAAACCTAAAAAAAATTGTCAAAGTTTTGCTCCAAATCAGATTTTTTTTATACCTACTACAGCATTTCAACTCCAATAAAAAAATATGAAAATCACTGTTCGAATGTATCTATACAAAAAACCTCTTTACAATTTTGGTAAATCGTATATAATTTGTTTGAATAAATACCTATTATAAATTCTACACATTTTTTTTATTTATTGCTTAGACTTCTGCATTACCTACGATCTACGATAAAGGCAGAAATACCTACCAGACAGGCTGACTTTAGACCTACTGTCACATAATATGCAATCTAGACACTACTCCAGACTGTCTTTTGTTTTCGTTAAACTAGTCTAAACCGGATTTCTAGAAAATTGTATTTTTTTTTCAATCGTGAATTTATTTCTTTAAATTACCTACTCTACTATTTAAATAATGTTTAATAGGCATAATTTGTGTTGTCAAAGACATCAAGCCATCATGCGTGCAGAATTGGATTCTGAGTGGGAGTTTTTGAATCTACGAATATGGGTAAGAAACATAATTTTGTTGGTTAGAAATTAGATGCACCTATAGTATACAACAAAAATTATTAAATTAAACAGTGTAGCTATATGTATTTTATATTTTAATAAATTTAAGAAAAAGTTACATACGTAAAACAAATAAATTACCTAGGTTAGTTTTCTGCATCCAAGTATCTTGCAATAAGAACCTATACCTACCTAAAAATATCTTGAATTTTCAAATTTAATCAATTGTTAATATAGGTATTAATTGTTTTTTGTTGAATATTTATATTTTATACGTTTTTCATACTAATTTGGAATAAGGTAGGTACCTACATAATATTTTAACGATTGACGTCAAAAATAAAGCTATCATATTATTGTAAATACTAACAAAAAGTAACGGATAAGTAGTAGGTATATAGATTTAAATACCTAGGTTTTCGATTCTTTTTTTACGAAAAAGAAAATTCAGAAGCTCAAAATGCTAAGTATAAAAACGAAAATTCGGAAATAGATGGGAAACTGATTCAGAAACTACCTATATAAATAGGACTTATAGGTACCTATCTATTCTACCTACTTAGAACAGATTGCAGAGTGTTTAGCTGTTGTTTTTGTTTTATTACTATGGTATCTACAATATTATAAACAAAGCAAAACAAATCCGAGCTTAGGTAGGTATATACCTACGGTTGTTGTATATTTTGGTTAAACTTTTTTGAAGTTAAAAAACGACGTGGCTACTGTTCCTACCAACGTTTAAATAGTAATTGCTACTTACATAACCGGGGTTTACACTTATTTTTTTAAATGCTGAAAATCCTCAGTAGAAATAAAGATATCTCTCTAGTTTTTCAATTTACTTTATGTCTTTATCTAGTCAAAAAGTCTTACTCTATACCTAACGTGTTTGTTGAACGTGACCAATTTACACAAAGTTAATGTTTACGTGACTGACATTGAATAACATAATAAACAAAAAAAAGAAAATACGAATAATTATTATGAAACAATTTAATACATTGAACTACGGAAACTGCTTCCTACAAAAAATCTCAAACTGAAAGGGTACCGGGGTATTAGAATTAACTACCTGGGTCGGTGGGTAGGTACCTAGCTAGGTAACAAAAATGCGTAGGTAAGTAGGGCGAATCTAAACTAAAAACACCCAAAAAATATTGGATTTTCCCCTTGCATTTGACAATATTGAAAATGAAGAGATACCCACGTAAATATAACATGTAATGTTACACGTTACACCCGGGATTCGGGAATCTCTTGATCGACTCTCCGTCTTTGGATTATTAAGGGACAATGATCAATTGGTCATAGCTTCAATTTACTAAATTAATGGTACAAAGATAAAGGACCCATGTAAGATGTTCCAGTTTAGGAATATTTTAGCAAAAGCACCCAGGTTTATTGATATATTAGCTTGAGACAAAGATACCGAATGATAATATCGGATTATATTCGGATGGGATAAGTTTTGTATTGTAAGAATACAAATATGTAACACTGAACAAAGTAGCTTTCGCTTTTTCAAAAATTACATTTCAATATAATAGATTATGTACCTACACCTACTCGATAAATCTTCAAGGATAAAACCAAAAGAGGTGAAAATTTTTTGAGATTATTTTGTTATTTCTTTGGGAATTTGCATAAAAATTTCCTCACCTCTCTTGATATTTGGAAAGATTGTTTAACAATATACACAGAACTTCTACACTCTATTTTTCCGTCCTGTATCGTTGGCATCGAAAGTTATTCGGAATTGCCTTAAGGTTATGACTGGGATGGTAGTAGGAATTTGAAAATTAATGGAATTTTCAGATGTAGGTATTTTGGGAAGCTTGTCGGATGATTTTAGAATTGTTACATGGAAAAATTAAAAAAAAGTCAGTTAGAAAATATTATATTGAAGTTGGAAATTATTTAAGTCGAAGATTTTATATCGTAGAGATATAAAAAAAAGGATAAAAAGAATAAAAAAAGAAAGACAGAAAATTTTATTTAAATTGAAGATAAGTGTGAATAGACTAGAAGGAAGGAGAACTTAACAACAAAGAGAGTTCAGCAGAAGGAGGAGTAAGAGAAGAAAGTAGAGGAAAACACCAAGAGGAGACCAGGCAGGAGAATAGAAGATATAGAAGAACGCAAAAGATTTAGATTTTTCAAATTCAAAATTTTTCTATTAGTTCTATTATGTTTAGTTATTTTTTTGAAATTTTTGTAGAAAGTCAAGGAGCCACAACCCTAAAAGCTGTAAGATATTGAAATGGTTTAACCTTTCAGGGGTGAAACCAATATAGTATATGCCCGCGTCGGTACTCGTACTCGTAACTCGTCAGCTCTAGGAATCAGAAGTACTGAGTACTCTAAAATATAAAGTAATCGAATCAGGATGAAAGTACTTACGAGTACCAATTACTGAGTACTTTGAGTACTCGAGTACAATTTTGAGTACAATTTACTCGAGTACTGCCCAGCTCAGATAGTGTTAAATAATCATTATTATATTCCACTGAAGTTCAGGCCAATTAAAATTATTTAGAGTTGTAAACAGCGCGCTCTAGTTCAGATTCTAATCGAAACCAATAATTGTGATATTTAATTGTAAGCAATGGATATGGATTTTCATCCAATAAATATGATGGCACCTAGTGAGGATCTGCTTTTTCTTTAGATAAAAAAAAGGTATAGGTAGACGTTATTAAATTTTTATGCAGTGTTTTAACTTGTAATCGAGTGTCGTTACAGTGTTTTGGCGGCTTGAGATTTCGCAGAAGTAATATTGGTATGCCTAGGCAGTTAATTCAAAAACTCAACTTGTTAGTTCACGGCGTCATCCGAGTTACACATCGTGTCTATTGAGTTGTATACTATTTCTGCTTTATCAAATAACTTCAGCAACATATCGTTGGTAAACGTAGCTTGATGAATTTTCGGGGTCAAAATAGCCCGTTCACAAAACCATTCAATTGGCTTATCCTGTATATTTGCAATTACCGGGAAAATGTGATCTATTTATTCCTGGACGGTAGTTTATCTATCTATACATTTTTTTAATTTTAAATAGTCCCTGCATGATTACACTCGTTTTTATAGAATATTGATGTTCCAGTATCTAACCCTTTAAAATATTTGCATTCCAGTTTAAATCGCGGTGTATGTATATTTAAATCAGTTATAAGTCAATCTGCCATTATTCCAATAACTACCTAAATAATCGATAGATAAAATATTTATCATTTTTCCCACTGTTATTTAGATAATAATTTTTAACATCAATCTGGACACCTAAATAGAAGTGTGTCCAGTTTACGATGTCCAAGCAGTCCCTCCACCTCTCTTGTGTGCTTCATAGCCGTCAGACCGGCGTTCATTGATCGACCCCACCATTACCTTCCCTTGTTGCCACATTTCCGTTGCTAATTTCACAAGATTGTAAATTCTTTGAATTTTATTAAATGTGAATTTATTATTGAAAACGTCTTTTTTTAAAAGAGGTAAAATGTAAGGCATTCAAATCGTAATATAGGATACCTAGTTTAATTATTGATAATAATTTGTTTGTTAAGGGCGATGAATACCTATAAAGATTGATGTATTAATCTTTATGAACTGAAGAATTTTTGGTATAGAACTTAAGTCATGATTTGGAATACCTACAAAGGAATGGGTACCTAACCACCAAAATAAAATTTTAAAGTAGATTTATGCGAAATTTTGGTAGTATATTTACTTATTGACATATATACGAAGGATGTTTATGTTTATACTTATATACCTATAAGAGGAGTTGTGCTTATAAATAACAAAGAACAGGTATAAAAGAATTACGAACCAAGATCAAATAATTCAGAATTTAGAATGATTATGGTAAAACTGTCAAAAAGGGCTTTAGAAATGATACTGAGCAAAAATGGAAAAGTGAAACCGTACCTATAGAAAGTTATATAGGTTGTGCAATACAAAGTTAGATGTATATTTTTCTTGTAGGTATGATTTAATTCTGGGTTCTAACATTTTCTATAATCTCTTTTGTTAATATTAAATTAAATTCTGTGTAGGTATTAAACTTAATCTATTTTATGTGATTTTTTTTTAAGTCTAGCACAGTGCTTGGCAAATATGACATTACTAAACTAACGTGCATCGAACTTTGTTTTGCACAAACTATATATACTCATTGAATTGAAGAAATCGGCTACAGAAAGGGGAAAACATAGAAGACGTAATTAGAGATTGATCAAAAGAAATAAATTATAGTGAATTGTTGGTATAGGGATGCAGGAAGCAGAAGAAGATGAAAAAGCGTTAATCATTATAGGTACTTTTAGAAACATTCTACTTTTATTCTTTATATCTATAATATTTTATTGTTATTTTTATAGTTTCTTCTCTTCAAGATTTTTCCCAGAATCCCAATTAAAATCAAATAAAAGAAGGTAACTCTTCTTTATTTATTTCCCGACTTATCTCCCTATTATTTAGTTAAATGTGGTTTCCAATTTCGTCACCATTATTGTTTAGATTTTCGTGAAAATGTGTAAACTCAAACTTCTTGTCTACAAACTGAAGTTGATACCTTGGTAGGTAATATAGTTTCTTTCCTATTGTGTCAAATCATTAATTACCTCGAAAATATGTATTCTATTAAAAATATCTGTATTCAATGAAAAAATAGTGGATTTGGCAACAGCGTATGCCATACCTACGGCTACACGCTTTCATGCTTCCCTCCGCCTTCTGCGTTGTGTACCCGCTCTATCGTTGAATTTGAGTTGCCAGGGTAGTTTGAGTGAGAAAGAACAAGAACCCTGCTCGACAAAGGTCGGGCGTTGTTCAAATTTTCCAAAACACACTTCGTGAATGAATAGGAAACTGTGAAGTTTGTGTTGTTCCAGTAAACCCAGTGCCAATTAACTAACACTTTGCCTTTGTGCAGTGATTTTTACCAGTCGTTCCGCAAAATCAGTCAAGCTGTGGGGCGCCGGCGCTTTTTTTCTTCCCCACCAGGGGATGTACTATCCGGTAAGTTTGTGTTTTTCGACAAAAATTAAAACATTCATTATTTTTGTTACATCTATTTATCCGTGTTTTGGCGAGCACGCTGTCAAAAGAACGCATTTCGTAATTTGTTTCTGTTTAATGTTTACGAATTCGGAAGCTGCATCTCTCTCTTCGCTCGTCGTTTGTCGACCAGATGTGTGCTGTGTATAGGCACATTGGCGTCCAATGTAAATTGCCCTGGGTGTTTTTGCTTTGTTTTTAAAACTGGTTATGGGTAAATTAATGTTTATAAATATAAAATCATTGATTATTATGTCTTCAAATTATTCAAAATGGTATTATACAGGAGGCTCTTAGTGACGCGATCTATTTACCAAATATACACAAAATATCAATATCTCTTGTTCTAGTTTTTATTTGTTATTTTCAATCTTAAACCACCTGATGTTCTTTTTTTTATAGAAATTTAATAACACTTAAAAGAAACCAGTAAGGTATATTCAATCTGGTGTTATAAATGTACGCAGTATCAGTCGAAAGAAAGTGTGTTAATGATCTGGATTCTAGATACTATTTTAAGATGTCGAAATTTTAAGATAAATGTCGAAATTGGATGTGTATTTCTTTTAACTAAACGTCATTCGTCTGAATTATAATCTAATAAAAAACTTAATTTTTATGTTATAATTTGGTGAATTTCTTAATATAATCGCGGTTTTTACTGGTATATCCTTATTACAAACCACACTGATGCGGTGTACTTCTTAGATTTCCCTTGAATAAAAAGCCTAAGAATTCATTTTTTGAATGATAAAATCGAATCACAAATATTTTAGAATCTTGACAAATACAAATATGAGTGTAAAGTGTAATTAGTAAGGAATGATCCACAAAAAAGGTTTCCAAAGTAGGCCTTGGAAAAATTCACGTTTGTAGAAGTTTACAATTCTTTTTTTAAGTGTCAGATTTAATTCATAACCGTGCGTAGTTCACGGACATGACTCGCATTTCTGCCTTTGTCTGTCATGTATTACTTTAGAAACGTTTTTTGTTGGATTATGGGTTTTAAAGGAAAACCGCAAAACAGCGAACCCCGTGCGATATTCGATTGTCAGATATTGGCGTGAATAATTTTCTTCTGATCTCGCCTTGGTAGTAAATACTGCTGATTTAGGAGAAGGGCGTGGGTCGCTACCCTTCAAGTTCCGGGACCCATGTAAAATGTGATGGTAACATGGTAACTGTATCCTTGCCTAGAAACCAATCAGGCTCTCATTGGCTATCAGGCTGGACCAATTTTACAATAGGGTGAATTTCCTGCTGAAAAATGCTTTTATATTTACCTAGACTTTCGTTCCAAGCCCATATAAATATTAAATATAATGAATTATCTCTAAACAAATATATCTATAGGAAAATAATATGCTTATCAATCTTATCATATTAGACAGGTTGCGGTCAGTTATATTGATATTTTGATAAGGATGACTATGTTATCAACAAATAAACACACAACTAAGCTTTTATATTTCTATACCTAGGATTATTATGTTTTATTAACATACTGAATTATTTATCACTTTATCAGGTTAACATTTAATTGAGTGTTAAACTTCTTGATCGAATTATCAATTAAGTTACTAAATTCTTTGCTAAAATTATTTTATTAGGCCGAGTAGTAAATAAAACGCTAGAAACAGTGTTATCTCAAATAATGTGTATAGGTACCTATACAAAATATTGATTATTTATAATCGCGTGAAGCACGAAATATGTTGTTAAAAATTAAAATTAAGAATTTTATTACGAGTCCGTAGGATGCCATTTCAAGAGTTGTATTCATTAGATTATATCACTAAACAATAGAATATAATTTTGTTCCATAAGTGACCATGAAACTTTTGCTGTAACGATCATCTGGAAATAGATATCATGCAGCTAAAAAAAATATTTTTATTTTAAATTTTGACAAAGCTAAAATAAACGAGATAAAACAGATGCAAATCTGAATAAAAATTTAGTAACAGTTTCCGGGCGTATTTTCGGCAACCGTATGGAATAACAATATCAATAAAGCACGTTTCTTTATAATTTTTATTTGTAGAGCAAAATTAGAAACATTTTAATTCTTGCTTAAATGATTTTTTTCTAAGGTTGACCTTTGGAAAATTCACGTATGTCAGAGCTTACAATTCTTCTTATAAGTATCTATTTGGATTTAATTCAGAGCTGTGATAGTTATATTATGGACATGACTCGTATCTCTGTCATTGTCGGTCATGGCCTACTTTAGAAACATTTTTTGTTGATCACTCTTTATTAATATTTATATTGAAATTCGAACAATTAGATATTCCAAACAAAATGGTTATCTGTGGATATTGATACAGCAACCCTGTGCTATTTATAAAGATTGATCATTCTTGTTTTTCAAAATAAACATAAGCATATACCTTGAAGCAGGGGCAGTTTCTCCATTAGTTCATGTGTGTAGTGAACATCCAGTTAAATTTCATAAAAACATAATTTTAAACTCACATAAAAATATAAATTCCATTTTTATATTTTTATTGTTTTCATACATGTTAATATCTATTTTTTGGTACGCCACTACGCTCTGGCTGGTCTCGTACGTCGGTGGAATATGCTGATTGAATAGGAGAAGTTTCCGCGAATGCCTGTAGTTAAAAAGAGAAGTCAACAGTGTGTTCATTGAAACCAAGCTATTTTTAGCATTATTTTGTGCACCGCACGTAAATTACGACACGATAGTTAACTTCGCTTGGTCAGGTCACTCTGACTGGAAGCCTTTAATCCAACGTTGCCACATTTAGTAGAATTTCAGGTTTTAGTAGACAATTTTTTGGTAATTTTAGTAAAATCGTTCAAAAATGGATACCAATCGTATTAAAACGCACGATGGAAAATAAGTTTTAAGGAATATTGCGTTTTGAACTGATCTTACAAATGATAAAATTATTGGAAACAATTGAACCTGCATTTAAAATTACCACGATCTGTCAATGCCTTGACGTAAAAATGTAGATAATTATTCTTTTACTATATTTAAAGGCTGAAAATTGGTTTAAACACTTTTCGCTAAACCGATTCTGATTAATGAGCACTTCCGAGGAGATATGGCCGCTCGCAAAGGGATTCGCTTTCCATAATATCATTGAACCTGTCAGAGCCTACATGTAGCATGACATGTTTGGTATACTCGTATTTAGAAGCCTGTTGTTAGAACATGAAGGTAAGGTATCCGATTAATGTTTATTGTTTCTATGTGTGATAATTGTTGAATGGTTTTGGTAAGTCGTTATTTTGTTGCTATGGTAATGATCAAGTGAATTCTTCTAAAGCATACCTACCTAAATTTTCTTACTCTTATTTGGTTTTTAAGTACAATGAAGATGCTTCCCGTCCTAGTCTGGAAAATACGTAATTTCATAGACTATGCCGGAAAAATGCTACTTTCTTATTGCTATGAGATTTTCTTGTTTTTTTACGTCTTTGTAACATTTGAGTTGGAATAATTTTACTTTTTAATAAAATAAGTATTACTGCATAATGAAGAGATCGTGTCCATATGTATAAAAAATAAAAGAAATTGCTTTTAAACTTTGTACACTAGACAATAATTATAAACTAATTTATCTAGATCGGGCCACTCAATTCCTAACTCAAAAAAGTTATGCATTTTAGTTCTATTTGGGTGTATTATATTACAAAAGCTAAATGATGACTAAAAAAAGACCGATACTTACCATTAGAGTTAAAGCGACTTTGGTCATTACTAGTTTATTAGTTGTGTCATCATAAATAAGTACGTCGTTACGTCATACTAATAGTCGGTAAATACCTTCTTCAAGAGCTATTTTATAAATGTCCTTTGTCTTTGTCATATAATCTTGATGTGTTAACCTCTACCCTAAAGTATTTTCGTATTTTATTTTTATGGTTGGTTATTACATTTTACATGATAGAAAATGGGTGCCTTTGAATGTTCCTGCAGATAGGAAAATTAAACTAGTATGAAAATATATACTTAATGCTTGGCATTCTATATTATCCTCTTCACAGTTCAACAGACTCCCGTAACCCCTAATTTTTAATCAATAGGCTTCTTCCCCTTATAAAGCTTAATTTTTCCTATATCAAGTTGAAATCATTTTTGAATTTGATTTATGATTTTTTCTTTTAAATTCAACCCCCCTTAACTCTCCATTTTTGATTTTATCTAAAAAATCCAAGTTGATATTGTTTTTCGTTTTTTATTTATGATGTCTTGAAATTTTCAACCCCCCTTAACCCCTCCATTTTTAATCAGATTGTTTTCAAAATCAATAAGCTTCGTCCTCTTACAGGTCTTGATTTTTGGACTCATTGTGCGGACAAAAAACGTGACATCGGACGGACGGACATTTTTAAAAGTTGTTTAAAATTTGATGAAAAGGATTTTGGTGCAAACATATTAAAATTTGGATCAATATTAAAACTTTTGGTTTCTTGAAAGTACCTAAATCTATAATACTCTATGCAGACGACTGTGTGAAGAGGATAATAAAATATTGACTACTAAGAACTTGAGAATAATTTATTTGATAGAAATAAATTCTCGTTAAATTTATCGTCCACTTTAAAGACAATTATTAACATTCTATCCATTTCAATACGGAAAACTCTACCAATAAAGCTAGTATTTTGTATATAAGTACATCTAATATGACAATCCTAAAAATATTAAATAACAATAATAACCGGCAAATTAGTTAATCTGTACCTTTAAAACCGATTGGAATACTAAACGAAATTAAAAAGCGGTCACAAAATTATGGGAGTTTAGTTTAACATTGGACATAAAATGGTTCAACCAAAAGTCACGAAGGGCTTAACTGCGTTTAAACCGATTAAACCGTTTAAACCTGATTACATAGTTTTATAATTTTATACTCGATTTTATATTTAAGTTAAATACATCAAAAAACATGGTTACCTTTATACACAGCAGGGGCGGATGG